CTGTGTCTGTGAAATCACTTCTGATTCAGTTGATCCGTGGGTGCAGAGTAACATTGTCCCGTGGAGATTCCCACCATGCAGTCCTTACATAGGCAAACTGCTAGGCTTTCTGCAATGCTGCTGATTGGGTTTGAACCATCAGACTTTAGGTTAGCTTGTGCTGCCCAAAGACCTTCTTGGAATAGTGTGATCAAATGCTTTTCCCTGTGGGAATGACCTAGGGCCCCAGCCACTTACAGGAGAGCTTGGTTTGACTCGGCATGTTAACTCCCAAACCCCTCCGTCAGCCGGGCCTCCTGCCCGGAGTTCAGAGCCTTTTGGAGTCCACATGGTCCCACTCGGGCCCCTTCTGCTGACCCGACATCAAGTTCAGGAAGCCCTATTGAGAGGCAGCTTCCAGGTGCTGGGAGGAGACCCATTTCCCGATGAACACTCTTCTTAGATTCAGGCACATCTTGGACGAGGAAACACTCAGCATCTTTGCTCATAGGTTCACCTGCTAAAGATGAAGTTGGGTCTGGAAAGTGAGTTATACAAGTCAGGAAACAGAGGGAGGGTAGAACTGTGTTAAGAGATACACTAGAGGATGACTTCGCTCCCCCGTTTCTCGATCTTTGTTGTTAGGTGTGATCATGGCTCCTCCATACAGAGTGGAACTGTGGCTTTCCGTCACAGTCACTGCTGTTTGTGCTCCTAGCTGCAGGCCCTGTGCTCACCCAAATCGTGCACGGTCTTCCTCTCTGTCGTTGACCTCCTCCTCCGGGGGTTGGGCCCTCCTGAAAACGTGACCACAGTTCCTGAGAAGTCTTGCTATGGTTGCTTCTTACAAGCATTCTGGATGTCCTTCTCCCAAACCAGATCTGTTTGCTCTTACTTCAGTCTATGTTTCAATATTTTTCACCAGTATGACTGCGATTACAATGAGTTACTTGACTACATCTAATGAGAACAACAGCAACTGTGAACAGAAAGCAACCTACATGTAGTTAACAGACAGTTTAGCCGCTTATATACAGTGGAATACAATACAGCAGTATAAATGGGCTACAGTTGCACATATCAGCATAGCTCCTTCTTAAGACTTACACTTTCATAGGTGTGAAGTATTTAATAGTTTGTATTCCATCAATGATCTACCTTCCTTTCTCTATGTTGTTGTTAATTGCCTTTGAGTCAAGCACGACTCAGTGACCCAAAGAACAAAAGGCTTGAAGCCTCTTTACAAGTATTACATTTATCAAAGTTCACAGTTTCTGGAGGCATGTTATTTAGGAAGTGGATGCTATGCCTGCTTCCAAACCTTTTTCTATAACCACCTATTTATCTGTCCAACTAAATGTCTACTTACCCACCACCCACCACCTATCATCTATATGTCATTTACCTACTTTTCTATGTATCTCTCCGTCTAGCCGTATAGCCACCCACTCTTCCATTATTTATCTAACCTGTTAGAGGCTATCGGTTCCTCCTGCTGTCTTGGCAGAGTGGGACGTCAGCCTTGTCCCAGGGCAAGCTGAGCTGAAAGGAGGACTAGCGAATGTTTGTTTCCTTCATCCAGGGTGAAGCTGGCCCGGCAGGTCCCCCTGGATTACCTGGAACTGTGAGTGTCTCTGCTTCCAGCCCTTTCTCTTTCTCTAACTTCCTAAGGCATCAGGACCCCCCCACGCCCCACACATACCATGTGTACGTATAAGGATAAGTCACCTTGTTCGCCTCTTCTGGTAGCTTGGCCCATTCTTCGGTCTTACAGCTCATCTGTATGAGTCTCTCCAAGAGGCACCTAGGGTTGGTTATTTCCTAATTTCATATAGAAAACCCAAGTACTGTTTATCAAAGTATGTGATAGGCACTCGAAATAGGTATAACACACATGTTACATGTGGGGAAACAAAGGCCCATTGAGATGTCATTTGTTCTGGGTGAGATGGCATGGTGGGGTCATAGCCAGGCCTCTGGGTTCTGATTGGTTCTTCTGCCAGTTCTGCAGTCATGAGGCAGGTGCTTGGAGCTGGTGTGGGGTAGACTGAGAGTGTGAGCTGTGGAGTCAGAGAGATCCGAGTTTGAATCCTGCCTCACCCTCTGCAGCACAGTGTTCTTGGATGTGTTACTTAATTTTTAAAAGTCTCCCTATTCTTATATACTGTTTATTTTGCTGTGGATATCTTATTTAATTTGTAGTTAAGGTATCTTACATAATTGTAGTTAAAGGAGGCATAGTTAAACCCTTGGCTGTCAATGGAAAGATTATTGGTTCAAGCCCACCAGAGAGGCTGGTGCCTCTGTAAAGACTTAGAGCCTTTGAAAGCCAGTGAGGCAGGTTATGTCCCAGCATCACCAGGAGGCAAGGTTGCCATGACGGCTACAGGTAAGGCCAAGTATTTAGCACAGCTCCTGGCAAATAAATAAAACCCAAGTCCAGTGTTGTCAAGCCAGTTCTGGTCCCCGGCGAACCTCCCTGGAATTTCTTTACAGGGGACACTATGCATGTCCTCTTACAGAATGGCTGCGGATTCCACCTGCCGACCTTGTCATGCAAGTTCCTGCGCCATGAGGCTCCTTTGCTCAGTTGTAACATTTACTGTAAATCCAGACAGTGAAATATTGTCAGGCAAAGGCGTGAGTGCGCAGATCAATGGGATAAAATGAGGGTCTGGAAGCAGATTCATGCAACTACAGCCAAGCGATTTTAAAAAAAATCTATTTTACTTGAATTAAAGATTACAAGGCTCCTTAAATGATAAACACCAACCTCCTAATCTGGAGGTGACCCTCTGTAACACTTGGGGTCCACAACCTCCTAATCCAGAGGTGACCCTCTGTAACACTTGGGGTCCACCGTGGCTCATCTGGAGACAGACAGACGGTGCCTTCCCGCTGGAGGGTCAGAGGGGAGTCTGTCCTGACTGCCTTGTTCAGTTTGACTGTCATTGTTATTCATAGTGTTGTTGTTTTTGTGCACCGACTGGTAACTGACCCTCCAGCAACTTCTCAGGGGCTGTAAATAACACAGGAGATTTCCCTTCTTTCTCCCTTGGAGCAGCTGGTGGATTTGAACCCTGTGCCTTTGTGTTGTCAGCGTAGCTCCTTACTACTGGGACACCAGAGCTCCCTGTTATTCACAGGACTCATAAGTTTGCAAAACAGAAGTATATTCTAATGTTGCTTCCCAGCTGTGAGGTTCTCTGAGCTGAGCTCTGGTTTCTGGGAAGCCCCATTGAATGCACGTGTGGGCCCCACCTGGCAGGTGCACCGGGAAGTATCATTCACTCTCTGGAGCAGGGGACTGCCGGGGCCGGGGAGACAGGAGGGAACCATCAGGTTCCGAGAACCTTCCACTGTGGTTTCCTTCCAAGCCCCATCACCGCTCCACGTCTCACTCCTCCCCACACCCGCATGCCCTCTGCCAGGACACACAACTATCCTAAAGAGATGCTGGATGAATCACACACTGGGAAACTTACTTTCAGAACTGGCTGTATTAAACTTTTGTTCGAGATGCAAGAATGCAAGGCAATCTTGAGCCCTCTGAGGGAAGTCAAATTAGGAATTACCTCCTTGGAAAGCTACTTGGCAGTACGTATATCACACGGTGTCATGCCTTTCCCCAGCTGTCCCAAGACTTTGTTAAAATGAAAGCAGTCTAAGGCCCCTTGGAGACTATGTTCTCTCACTGGGAGGCAGGTTTTGGCTGGAATTGAACACCAGGGCCCGTGGGTGCACAGCTTTCTAACTCCTGTGCTTTCTGTTCCAGACCTCCCTGTTCACACCACACCCGAAGGTGCCGGTGAGTTCTGTGGCCAGGGTGCCTGGGCCTCCGCTGGGGGTGGGGTGGGGGTGAGCACTGGGCCACTCTGACTCTGCACATCTGCTGGTCACTGCGGGGCATCTGGGCATCCAGCTGTACCCTGGCAATGGATACGGGAAGGGCAGGGGGCTGACCAGGGACCTCCAGCACTGAGCTGGGCTGCTGCTGACCGGTACGTGCGCAGGGGAGGAGCACATCTTCCTGGGATGACCCCACATCTTCTGGCTCCTCACCTCCCAGCACTCACTCCACCCCGCTCCCAGGAGACTCCCTTGAACTTGATACTTGAAACAGTTCCTGGATGATCCTGAAGGTTTTTGAACCTGCTCAGCTGCTGGCTGAAAGATTGGCACTACCAGTCCACCTGCGGGCCCCTCATGGGAAAGGCCTGACCATCTTCTACAACAAATCGACCACTGGAAGCCCAAGAAGCACAGTTCTGCCCTGACGTCACGCTCACTGCGACTTGACTTTTCACAGAGCTTGTCTGCATGTGGAGTGATTGACACCTGCGAGTGGCCCCACTCTCCAGCCTGGACAGGTTAGGTGCACTCGGCTGTAGGAACACACATCCCAGTGGACGGTGACTGAGTGGCAGTGACCCTGTGGAAGGCAGTGGGGCCCTGGTGGGTGGTACCTTCCAGGCCTCTTCTCTCTTCCTCTGCCCCACCACCTTCTGAAGCATCTTTGGGAAGTGAGTCAAAAGGATGCACCCATGATGAGGGATTTCTAGTTAACCAAAAGGTCTGAAGTTCAAGTCCACCCCAGAACACACTGGAAGAAAGGCCTAGTGATCGACTTCAACCTTATGACACACTGTAATCTCCATTCATGGTCAAGTCCATGGCAAAGGCTGGTCCACATGATCAAAAATCTTCTTGAGAAACTGACCTTACTCCAAAGTTGACTTTAGTTGGTTTGGAAGGATAGCCAGGCAGATGGCTCTGTACCACCTTTACTGTCAGGTTCAAGTTCAGATTCTCTCAGCTATGTTCAGCTTGTTTATCATGGCCCTCGAGTCCCAGGCTATTTGCCTGTCCCCTGCCTGGCCAAGGTCTTCACCCAGCCTCTCTCCTTTGGAATCTGATGAGTGACAGCCTTCCTGTATGACTTGCAGCTTGGATGGAGCCCAGAAGCCATTTTTATGTGCAAAGTAAGGAAATTGTGTCTGCCAGAAGGAAAAAGATTCATTGTGGTGCTGATGCTGCCTGGGCCTCACTCCGTCGCCATGGCAACTGTGTTTGTCTTGATGGGTTTGGAAAGTGTTATTCTGTTTGACTGCTCCCAGCAAGCTCAGCGCACCTTTTGAGGTCCTGCGGTGCAGAAAGAGGTGGGAGAGGAAGAATTAGAGGACATCAACATGGGCAGTATAATTACGAAGGACAAGAGACAGGAAGGAAGAGAGGGTCAGGCTCCCTGAAGCCCCTCTGCTTCTACCTGTGAGATTGAAGATGCTGCAGGCATGGCTGGGGACTGCAGCCCCAGTGAGGTCACGAGGTGGAGTGACGATCGAGTGGGAGAACAGGGACCACTAGGGGATGAGCAGGTCCCCTGGACTGGAGACAGCAGGGAAGGGAGGGACTGTCCCTTAGCTAGAGGGACAGGCAGCTCAAGCTTGGAGAAATTCCTAATGAGAACTCAGATTACAGGGAATTCGTAGGTGGTTCACGACCAGCTATCTCTGGCAGCCCAGCGCCCTCGAGGAGTCCTCCACGACACCTGTCACCTGCTCAGGGGTTAAGAGGATGACTCTGAGCCCCAGGGACAGCTTTGGACTTGTCTGATGCATGGGGTCGGAAGCCATTGATGTTCATACATCCAGCACCTATGGACCGAGGACCAGCTGTGTGCCCACGTGGTGATGGTACTGATGCCCAGGGCAGTGCGGAGCTCCAGTTGAGGGCCTGTGTGGTGAGGGGCGCTGTCTGCTGACACCAGAGCTGTGCTGAGGACTGCTGTGTGCTAGTGCAGCGGAGAGTTCCACTCCCTGTCCCCAGCCTCACCGGGTGTCTCTGGAGTGACCTTGAGTTCACAGGATCCTTCCTCTGGCCTGACCAACCTTACACAGGAGGCCTGGACCAGACTCCCTCCTGCCTGTACCCTCTCACCCGGAGTCAGCAGGCTTTCCCCGGCCCCTGACCAGGAACAAGCACTTGGGCTCGTGCTTTTAAGCACTTGCAAGTCAAGTGCGGCTCACAGAGTCCCCCTGAACAAGAGACCCGAGCCTTTTCCCTTCTCGTGCAGCCTCACCGTCTTCATCCACTTGAGCCCATTGTTCCAGTCACTGTGTCAGTCCATCCCGTTGAGGGTCTGCCTCTCCTTCCTTGACCCTCTCCACCTTCCCAAGCATGTTTCCAAAGGAGCAGCCTTGTGTAGTTCCACATCCAAGGTGGGAGAGGTGAAGCTTCGTCATCGTTGCCTCCAAGAAGCGCTCTGGCCCCACCTTGCCCGAGACATATCTGTTTGTTCTTTTGGCAGTCCATGGATATTCAGTGCTCTTCTCCAGCACCCCAGGGCTTGAGAACCAAAGTCCTCTGTAGATGCCCACCATGGGAATTATCTAGAAGGACCATGGTAGAAATAGTGGTATCACTGTTCCTGGCGGTGGGATGGCCCACCACCCACAACTGACCTACCCTCACAGTGGCCGCTGTGAAGAACCAACCTGTGTTTACCTCACACAGTTAGTTCTGTGAGGCGAGACCAGGGCAGAGTCTGCTGTGCCGATTCCTGGAGATGTTGAGAGGGGAGCTGCCGCAGGTCTCCCTTCTGGGGGTGCCACCCACCTCGACCTGCCTCTGCTGCTTTTAAATGATCTGCCTTCATCATCACACGGCATCTGGCTTCCTCTCTTACAGTGTGACTGTACTTCCTCAGCTGTCTTTTTAGAATGACACTGGTCACTGTGAAGACTGGGAATTCCAGAACACTCAGTTGTGCTCAAACAGAAGCTGTGCATGTGGTCTCTGTGGGCCAGAGGTGCCTTGGTGACACTTAACAGCAGCTTCTGCAGGACAGAATTTTCATTCTGATCAGGAGCTGAGTTCTCTGACTATTGTGCAACCAAGGCCCCTTCGACTTGGGCGGGAGGGGCTTCGTTCAGAGCAAGGAGGGGGTGGGGTATGCAGCACAGAAAGAGCCCTGGACCTAAGACTCCCTCAGAGCGGAGGATGAGGAAGGCAGGTGAGGGGTGGGGGGATGGGCCAGGCAGACTGCCAGTATGTGGGTGCACGTGAGTGAGGGCAGTTCAGGTGCACCCTGGGATTGGAGGGCCTGGGAGGGCTGTGGTGGAGGCTGACCAGCCCCATGGTCTGTACTGTGTGTTGTGGGCTTAGCTCACATGTGATCTGCTCCGTGCTTCTCCACACACAGGCCGAACAGGGCCCCAGAGGAGAGAAGGGCGATGCGGGCATGCCTGGAGAGCCGGTGAGCCTGCGCCCCACACCTTGTGCTCCACACGTGCTCCCTGCACCCCACACTCACCCTCGACATGCTATCCCCAACCCCTTTTACCCCATGTCCACATCCTGCACCCCACACTCACCCCCTGCACCCCACACCAAACACTTAATTCTCACATCAGCACCCCATGTCCACCCTCTGTACCCACCTGCACCTTCACCTTACATCCAGACCCTGTGCCTACAGCCATGCCCTGTCCCTCATGCTGACCCCTGAATCTTACCTTCACCCCACATATTCCATACCCGTGCACTCCTCGCCTGCTCCTGTGCTCACACCTTGCACCCCAGCCCCATCCACCTGGCCGCCTGTGCAGGGGACCCTGTGGCCCCCAGCTGAAGCTCTCCCCAGGAACTGAATGCTGCCCCTCCTTCCACCTCCTGCTGTGCCCCCTATGCTTGTCCACACCCCACTTTCTACCCAGAAAACCTCGGTGAGCCCCTTCCCAGATGTTGTTTCATTGCAGGGACCTCAGGGCCATCCTGGAGAATTGGGGCCTCGGGGACCACCGGGACCGCCGGTAAGGAGCCCCTCTCCCTCCTGGGTTGGTTCAGGGACCCGCCACCCTGCGCTGTCACTCTCCCCTGGAATTCTGAGAGTGGCCACCAGGGGGCGCAGCCACACTGCTAGAGGCCTGGAGCCTCCTGAGGCCATAAGGGGAGATGACCACGTGGTACCCCATGCAGCTGTGGGGCTGGGACCCCAATGTCCTTACTCAGTCACAGAAAGCTTAGACCCCTCTCCCTCCTGCTCCCGCTTCCCTGGTGCCCAGCTATCCAGCAGCTGGTACAATCTTCAGACAGAAGTTCCCCTCTGGTCAGCCCTTGATGGCAGCTCTGGCTAAGGGCACCTGGGGTGGGTCAGCACGGGCACACCTGGCCTTGATGTCCCCTGGCGCCGCTTTGCCAGCAGCCTGTGCTCACTTGCTGTCTCTACGTCAGTCTCACAGTGGCTCAGACATTTCCGTAATGCTCCATAGACCACGATACCGGGTTCAGCATATGTTTGAAATGCACTGGGAAACCAAGACATTTTTATGACTCGCTGTGCTGCACTGCTTCTTTATGGCCGGGGTTTGGGACGCAGGCCTGTATTGATGCTGCTGCCATTTCCCGTTTTAGTTTGTGGGTCTCACCTGGGCAGGGATTAAGGTCCCCTGGGAGTTGGGGAAGCAGGTGCTATTGAAGTGGCTTGTCCTGGGTTCAGGGTTGCGGGCACATCTGCTGGTGGTGCCAGGCCTCAGTCACCTCAGTGATGTGACAAGGTAGCAGCAGCACCTACCTCCGGGGAGGAGGAGTGAGGAGGACTGGGGGAGGTGGGGAAGACCAGGGTGGTGAGGAGGACAGGGAGAGGTGAGCAGGATGGAGGAGGTGAGGAGGATGGGGGAGGTGAGGAGGATGGGGGGAGGTTGTTGTGATGGAGTTGATGCTCACTGTGGGACTCCCATGTGCAGAGTAGCACTGCGTTCTCCCAATTGCCAGACCTTTATTCCAACGTACCCTAGGTGTGCTTGAACTGCCAACCTTTTGGTTAGCAGTCCAGCCTTTAACTGTTCTGGAAACTCAGACTATGAATGTGCAACACACCGGAAGGAGGTAGTGGGCCTGTGGTCATCCTCTGTCCCTTTTATTTTATCTTTTCACTGTGTCTGAGTGAACATTTACAGCTCAGTTATGGTCATGATGTCATGATCCCTGATGTCCCTCTTTTTACTGTACAGGGTGCCAAGGGACAAGAAGGAGCCCATGGCCCCCCCGGAGTGGCTGGAAACCCGGTGAGTCCTCATGCCCACCTGCCTCCTGCTGTCCCCAGAGGGGGCTAGTCTGTCACTGACCAGGAGGGAGCGACTGGCAATGTTTGTCCCCCACTGACCAGGGTTCAGTCTCAGAGCTGAGCTGAGGCATCTCTACATCTGGGTTTATGTCATACCAAGTGGATTCACTTTGCTCACTGCAGAGAGCCCATGGAAGCAGTGTCTGCACGGGGCCAGTGTCCCACATGGATGCCACAGAGATAATGGACATCTGTGGGTCCACGCAACCGAGTGTGCAGTGTGGACATCATAAGGGTAGTTTCTTTCCGTCTGGCCCTAGTAATGAGTGTAGACTCTACATCAGGGACAGGCTCACACATGCACACCCACACAGACATCCACACCACACGCTCACACACATGTGCATGGATACAGGAACACTGCTCACACCTGCACACCCACACACCACACACTCACACAAGTGTTCTCAGACGTACATATATAACATACACACATAGCAGTTCTGCTGGGTATCACTCTTGGATCCTCCAGCCAGTCAGCACACACACCCACACTCACACTCACACTCACACTCACACTTGCACTCACAGTCCCTGTCTTTCAGACACACACACGCACCCCCCCCACATACACATGCAGTATATTCACTCTAACACACTCATATATACCACTTCACACTCTTGTGTACACCACACACATACATACATGTATAAACTCACATGTATATGGATCTACTTACACACTTGCTGTCACACACATGCACACATAGAAACACATTCACACACACGTGCTTACAAACACCTACAGACACTTACACACACTTGTATACACCCCAAGCACTCTTGTACACACAAATACCACACACACTCACACACAGCTCTGTCCCCCTCCATGCCCGCTCTGCAAGCAGCAATGACGCTTTCAGAGTGAACCAGCCTAAAATGTTCTGTTCTGGTCGCACCTGTGGTCACTCCTGGGACTCCTTCCTCTCCTTCCACCAGGCTCAAGCCACTCCTGCCCTCATGTTCTCCAGGAATGCCACCTCCTGGCCACCCAGGGCCAGTACTGCCTAGGCCTTGTCCAGGCTCCATACACCTCCCCGGTGACCTTCATCATTTGACCACAGTGTCTCCTTTCCAACATACAACCATGAAATGTTATCATTTTCATGGTTTTCCCCCCTTGTGCTGAGGAAAGTCAAAGGCCATCTAAGACCCTGTCCATAGTCAGAGGTGGCCTTCCCCTCTACCCGCCTTCTTCACCTCCTCACCTCCTTTCCCAACTCTCCACTCCTCTGTGTGTGTGTGTTTCTCTCTCTCTCTCTCTCTCTCTCTCTCTCTCCACACACACACACAGTCTGGGGGAGCTTCTGAGAGCCCTCCAGACGTTCCTCACTGCCCCCTAGTCCTGCTCCATGACTTGAGCTCCTTTGCACCTTGCCTCCCTGGAGGCCCCAGTGATCACACAAAAGGTTCTAGATTTTTGTGGAGAAGTAGGTGGTTAGGAGTAATCCCAGTAAATCATGGTGCTTGAGTGAGAAGCAGGCCCAGAGAAAAAGTAAGCTTCTATTCTTGCAGTCAATATATTTGGCTGATCTGAATGAACTTCTGTCTCTGAACAGGGTGCTCCTGGATCTGTGGGCCCCCCAGGCCCCAGTGGTCCCCCAGGAAGTGTGGTGAGTAATTGAGATGTACAGTGACACCACATTGGCATGGGCTCTCGAGTTAGGTCCTCTCCCTGGCATTCCTAGTGCCACACCTAGTGTGTGTTAAGAACACCAGAGTACACAGTGCGACATGGGGAACTAGATGGGGCTTGGGGGTGGGACCTCAGACATGGGACTCTGAGAACAGACTCCTTAGAATGTCCTCATCTCCAGCCAGGACCTGGTGCCAGGTGGTGGGTAGGGCACCATCACTGACTAACAGAGGCTTGGGCACCCTCCCTGTGGGCCCCAGCCTCCCCTGCAGTCTTGGAATCCACTGTGTCAACAGCTTTTCTTTCTTCAGGGCCCCCCTGGCACCAGAGGCCCCCCGGGGAAAGATGGAGAGCGCGGTGAAAAGGTAAGATATGGGGTCCAACTCAGCAAACGTCGAGTGTTAGGGTGAGAAAACTGGCTGTCTCTGATTGTCTCTGAGTCAAAAACACATACGCGCTCTACGGCAGCCTGGGTTTATTTGCCTGCTTGAGGCCAATGTAAATGTCTCCGTTCTGGTTAGACTGGAAGTTTGTGCAGCAAATTAGTTTCCCATTCATCAATTTGTACGTGTTTACTCTGTGACATTGGTAACAATCCCCTCTGGCACGTGGGCCAGAACCTGTGGTCACCTTCTCTGGTTGGTGGCTTCCATTTGCCTAGTGAATGGCCCAAGGAAGAGAGGAGACTGTGTGACCCCGTCATCTCATTTAGTCGTCACTCTTTCCCTCCCTCCCTCATTTGCTCACATGTCCTCCATTGGATCTGCACTGTCCCCCGGGTCTCCAGGGCTGTGGACCTCAATGTGATTTGCACCATCCGTCCCCCCGTGTCCGTCCCCCCCCCCCAGTTTCCAGGGCTGGAAGCCTCAGTGGGAGGAGCTGACCGCCTTTCCCCTCTGAGCTGCTGGTAGATGTGAATTATTCGTGACTCCAAGCCTTTTGGTTATCAGGACAGCACGCTGTGGACTACACCGGAGTGCTCTCGTCAGCCCTCATTACAGAACTACAATTGTAATAGCTCTGTTTCACAGGTGTGGAAATTGAGACTCAGATAGTTTAATTTGCCCTGAATTTCATACAAAGCTAATGAGCCTCAGAGCCAGGAAGGATGTGGGTCTACATCTGTCTGACTTCAAACCCCGCTTTCTCTCCACTCCGTGCACCCAACTATCCCTCCCTCTGCTGTGCTGCCTTTCTTGACTAAAGCGCAGGTGAAGGGTTGTGCTCAGCTCTGACGCACCTGCGAGCAGGGCACTGGTGAGCTGGTGAGCGGGCAGGGGGTGACCTAGAGACAATGGGGTTCTGAGGGCTAGCACAGCATTCAAGGGCCCCTGCTGGGCCGGTGGTGAGAGTACTCGGTCGCTAGCTAATAGGTCAGGAGTCTGAATCCACAGGGCTCCATGGAGAAAGGTAGGGCAGCCTGTTCTCATGAAAGTCCAGCCGTGGGGACCAGGGGTTTCCTCTCTGTCCTGTGGGGTCTCTGTGAACGGGAATCTCAGTGCAGTGGTTTTGGGTTGATCCTTCAAAGGCCTCCAGGGGGAGCCAAATGCCTCTCCTTGGTGGACAGCGGCCAGGCCCTGCCATCCACAGGCTGTTTGTCCTCCCTCCTGGATGTGAGACAGCTGTCGGTGGGTGCCGGCAGCTCCGTTCTGACTCATAGCAGCCCTGTGTAGACAGAACAAAGCCTGCCAACCCTGCCCACCCTCACAGCCCCTGCTGTGCCCAAGCCCATGTCGCCACGGGTCAGTCCACGTTACTGAGGGTCTTCCTCTTTTTACTGACTGTCTGCTGAGCGTGGCCTTCTCCAGGACTGACCCTCGCCCCCCCACTGACAACACGTACAGTATGTGAGACCGAGCCTCCCATTCTTACTGCTAGAGGGCACTAGATGTATGTCTCCTGAATTCAAGTGGCTGGAAGATTCCAGAAAGGGCTGTCTTGATTGAATGTAATTAAAGCTTCCCACTGCAGGAGAAGAAGCCAGGTGAGGGGTGAGCTCCCTGCTCCCAGGGGAAATCAAGTAGAAGCTGAGCCCTGTAAGCAAGACACCTGCTGGGTGTTCTGCCCTCCGTTGGCTGGGTGACCCTCAGGTCCTGGGCAGCCCCATGTGTCTGTTAAGGGTCCATTTCTCTGTCTCCTCACAAGGGGAGACAGGACCTGAGACAGGACTGCCCACCTCAGCTGGGCCACCGTTGAAGAGTTTAACCCCCTATGCGCCTCTGCCTCCAGGAACAAATTCTGTACCCTTTTCTTTCCAGGGCTCAGTGGGTGAAGAAGGAAGCCCAGGGCCAGCTGGGCCCAGGGGTGACCCTGGTGCTCGCGGGCTCCCTGGAGCCCCTGGCAAAGGCAAGGATGGAGAGCCGGTAAGTGGGGTGCCCTGGAGCTTCCGAGCCTGTAACAGTCACCAAAAAGGAAAACAGATGCACTGCTGGACTTTGCAGAGACCGCTGGGTGGGGGGCAGGTGGCCGAGTCCTCACTCACACCTAAGACTCGAAGATTCTGCATGCTTTCCCCAGACGGAGGGCATGGCGGGGTCGTCACCTCTGCCCCGGGGGGGGGGGGGCGGGGACAGCGGGGAAAGGGCCACTCTTGGCCCCATAACAGTCCTTGTATTTGCTTTTCCAGGGACTTCGTGGACCACCTGGGTTACCTGGGCCCCTGGGAAGCAAGGTAAGAGCTCGTCTCAGCTGCACCCAGAAGGGGCCATGAGTGGTGTAGGGTTGTTATGTCTGGTCACCTCCGTCCACCTCCGTCCCCGTCCACCTCTTTTCACCTCTGTCCACCTCCTCACTTCCATGTCTTCAGTTCATCACTCTCCCGTGAATGAGGCTGTGGGGCTTCTGTCTGTTGTAGCGAGGGCTTGGAGATGCTTAACAGCTACTTGCTGATTGAAAGCAGGTGTAAGGGCGCTGGTTCGCAGCCACCTGAGCAGCCACGGACGCTGTTGTTGGGGCTGTAGAGTTGGCTCTGACCTCTGACCTGTGGAGCCCCAGGACTGCCAGAGACTGCAGCATCCTCATAGGAACTGCTCTACTGGGGCCATTGGGTCAGCACGGCCAGGGGTTAGCACAGTCGGGTCGACGCAGCTGGGGGTCAGAGCATCTGTGGGCAGCTGAAGGTCAGTGCAGCTGGGGGTTGGCACAACCATGTGTCAGAGCAGCTGTGGAAAGCTGAGGGTCTGCACAGCCAGGGGTCAGTGCAGGAGAGGGGTCAGCACAGCCAGGGGTCAGTGCAGCTGAGGGTCAGCACAGCCAGGGGTCAGCACAGCCAAGAGTCAGTGCAGGTGAGGAGTCAGCACAGCCAGGGGTCAGTGCAGCCAGGGATCAGTGCAGGTAAGGGGTCAGCACAGCCAGGGGTCAGCACAGCCGAGAGTCAGTGCAGGTGAGGGGTCAGCACAGCTGGGGGTCAGTCAGCACAGCCAGGGGTCAGCACAGCCGGGGGTCAGCACAGCTGAGGATTAGTGTAGACAGGTCAGCTCATCTCAGGGAGGACCTTCTTTTTTGCTGACCTACTTTTCCGAGCGTGATGTCTTTGTCCAGGGACTGTCCTTTCTTGATAATATGCTCAGGGTCTAGGAGACCACGTCTCTCCATCCTTCCTTCTAAAGAACATTCTGGCTGCACTCAGTCTAAGATTTGTTTGTTTACCTGGGAGTCTATAGTGTTTTCAGTACTTCTCACCAACGCCACAATTTAAAGACATAAATTATTCGATCCTCCTTACTCGGTGTCTGTCACATGCATGGGAGCTGACTAAATCTACCGTGGCTTGGGTTGGGGGCTCCCTAGTCCCCACAATTCAGGGGCTTAGTTGATTTCTCATTCAGGTCCCAGTTATAGGAACATCAGGCCTCAGACCCTGTCATTCCAGAGCCCCATCTTCTGAGACCTCAATGCCTTCTACCTACCTTGGTGTTCACTGGTAGATGAGGACAAAGAGTAGAGAACCTATGGGGAGATTCCTGGCCCAGCCCTGGAGCTGGTGAAATCCCTTCTCACCACCTCTAGTGGTTCCAGAGACAGAAGAGATCGGGGTGGGGGGACATCTCACTGTGCGCCCTACAAGAAAAAGGAGACCCTCTGGTAAAGTCTAACCAGTCTCTCCCTAGATCCTGTTGTAGGTACAGTTCAGAATATAGGACTTTGCCCATAAGACAGTATTTTCCCCCACATTTTCTTCTTTTTATAAAAATGTTCTCTAGCCTAAAAATAGTACATATTCATTAGAGAAAATTTAGAAGTTACATTAAAGTAAAAAGGGGCAAATATATCCATTTGAAGACAGCCAGTTTCCTGTTTTGTTGTGGGGTGCCCTTGATCCTGACCCTGGATGACCCTACCCCAGGGCTTGGAGGAGAATTGCCCCCAGGCCTTGCCAGGCTGCTATTTATGGGGCCGTTTCCTTAAGAGAACTCTGCTGAGTGAGCAGGGCAGCTTCCCTGACTGTGGCCTGCATGAACCGTTCGTCATTAACTCCTCATGCATTTGGCACGTTTATTCATTCTTTCTTTCTTTTATCCATCCGTCCACTGAACTGAGTGACAGGATGAGTGTGATATATTCCTGGGAGTCCAAAACCCATAGTCCAGATTGGGAGACAGATACATATGCTGTCATGACACAAATGTCAGCAGAGATGGTGGCTTGAAAACAAGTGAACTTAGAGGATGGTCTCTGACCCAACCTGGCTTTAGTGTGGAAGGCTTCCTGGAGGAGGCGATGCTGTCTGATTTTGTAGTATATGTAGCAATTGGTAAGAGCCCCAGTAGCACAATGGTTACCTATTGGACTGCTAAAGGAAAGGTTAGTGGTTCAAATCCACCAGCCCCTCTTCAGAACTGGGTGGCAGTGAGCCGTCAAGAAGAGTTGCAGCCTTATAGTAACTATGGGGCATATCTCCAGTCTGCAGGTCAGTATTATTGTTGCTGTTACGTGCTGTTGAGTCTATTATGACTCATAGTGACCTTGTGAACAAAGGATATGAACCCTGTCCTATCCTGTGCCATCCTCACACTTTCTGACACACAAGAGCCTATTGCAGCAGTCACCATGTCAATCCACCTAACTGAGGGTCTTCCTCTCCTTCGCTGACCCTCCACCCTCCCCATCATGTCCTTCTCCAGGGAACAGCCTTTCGTAGCACCATTCCCAAAGTATGTGAGGCAAAGCCTCATCGTTCGTGCCTCCAAAGAGCACTCCCCCCGCACCCTCTCCAAGACAGAGCTGTTCTTTTGTTCATCCATGTGATGTTCAGTGCTTCTCCAACACCACAGCTCAAAGGCATCAGTTCTTCTTCTGTCATCCTTAGTCATTGTCCAGCTCTCAGATGCATAGCAAATGGTTGAAAATCTATGACCTGAATCAAATGCACCTTAGTCCTCAAACTGACATCATTATTCCTCAATAATTTGGAGAGGTCCTTAACTGCAGAGTTTCCCAATGCAGTGTGTCTCTTTATTTCCTGACTGCTCGTACCAAGCGTGTTAACTGTAGATCCAAACAAGATGAAGTTGTTGACAGCTTCATTCTCCTCTCCACGCATCATGTTGCCTATCGGCCCAGTAGTTAAAATCTTTGTCTCCTTGACATTGAGATGTGATCCTTACCAAAGGCTGCATTTCTTGATAGTTTGCAACAAGTGCTTCAAGTCCTCCTCACTTTCAGGAGGCAGGGTTGTGTCATCTGCATAGCACAGGTGATTGATGAGTCTCCCTCCAATCCTGATGCCACGCTCCTCTTCACAGAGTCCAGCTTCTCGGGTAATTTGCTGAGCATAAAGAATGAATAGGTATGAAGTGAGAGTACAACCTTGATGCATTCCCTTCTCAATTTTAAACCATGCAGTGTTCCGCTGCGCTGTTCGCAACAGCCTCCTGGTCCAGGTGTAAGTTCCGTATGAGCCGATCAAGTGCGCTGGGATTCCCATTCTTCTCAATGTCAGCCACAACTTGTTATGATCCACACAGTCAAATGCCTTTGCATAGTTAATAAAGCACAAGTAGACATTCTTCTGGTATTCTTTACTTTCAGCCAGGATCCATCAGACATCAGCAGTGATATCTCTGGTGCCATGGCCTCTTCTAAATCCTGCTTGAACTTCTGGTAGTTCCCTATCTATGCACTATTCTAACTGTTTTTTAAAAAATTATATTCAGCAGTATTTTGCTTACATGTGATATTAATGATATTGTTTGATAGTTTCCATAGATAGATTCAGTTGGATCACCTTTCTTGGGAGTGGGAACAAATATGGACCTCTTCCAATCTGTTGGCCAGACAGCTGTCCTTTAATTTTTTGGCATAGACTGGTGAGCGTATTCATCAGTTAATTGAAACAAGTTAATTTGTATTCCATCGATTCCTGGAGTCTTACTTTTGCCAATGCCTTCAATACAGCTTCTACTTCCTCCTTCCTGACCATTGGCTCCTCTTCATATGGTACTTCCTGAAATTTTTTCCGTGTCCATTAGTTCTTTCTGGTACAATGATTCTGTGTAATCCCTCCATCTTCTTTTGATACTTTCTGAGGCATTCAATATATTGCCATAGCATCTTTCAGTATTGTAACCTGAGGCTTGAATTTATTTTTCAGTTCTTAGTTCTCATCTTGAGAAATGCAGAGCAAGTTCTTCCCTTTTATTCTCCAGTTCCAGCTCTGTGTACATTCTTTTCTGATACTTTGCTTTGTCCTCCCGAGCTGCCCTTTGAAATCATCTGTTCAACCCTTTTACCTCAGCATGTTTCCTTTTGTTTTGACTTCTTTATGCTCCAGTGCAGTTTTTCGAGTCTCTTCTCTCCTGATTTTATAATGACCTTTTTGCTTTCTTCATGGATATCCTTGATATCATCCCACACCTCTCCAGGTCTTCTGTCATAGGTGTTCAGTGCCTCAAAACTATTCCTAAAATGATCTTGAAATTCAGATGGAATTGATTCGAGATCACATCTTGGCTTCTGTGGACTTATTTTTATTTTCTTCAGTCTCATTTTGAACTTGCCTGTGAGCAGGGTCGATAGGAATTGGAATTGACTCGTCACTGGGGTTTAGTCTGCATGGTGGCGGTTGGTGAGATCCCCTCAATGCCATAGTTGGTGAAGTGCTCAGCTAGTAACTGTTAGGCTTCCAACCCACCCAGAAGCACCTTGGAAGAAATGCCTGGCAATCTGCCTCTGAAAGATCACAGCCATGAAGACCTTGAGGACAGCTTCACCCTGATGGACAGGTGCCACTGTGGCTGAAATCAAGTCAGCAGGAGCTTGAGCAAGGGAAAAAGCACCTGGCAAGGGAAAGGAGGTGTGGACGGAGTTCAAGGTAAGAGGCAGGCAAGGAGAAGACAGTGAGGTGCTGGCGTGCCCTGAGGACCAGAGCCACAGGAACCGTGAGGATCAAGCAAACACAGACACTCTTAGGAAGGTGGGCACAGCAGATAACAGCACGAGGTGACCGTCACTGTTTGGGACTCGCACTCCAGCCAGCCATGCTTTGACCTTTACACTGAAACCTCATATCCTTTAGATCAAATTGTGGCCTCCATGAAGGCTGGTACGTTTTCCAGGCTGTTATCAGTTAGAGACCTCGTGCCGGGGAAGGTGGAGATCAGAGACAGGAGGACCCTCAACGAGATGGGCTGACAGAGTGGCCGAATGATGGGCTTCAGTGTATCAGGGCTT